TGAAATCTTACCATACAACTCAAAGGGTGGAAGGAAAACTCTAGGCAAGCAGAGGAGGCGCCAATCGCCGATACGGAGCCAAAGCATAGCAGGTGAGCCGTCACTCTTCCGCATGGATTGGACGAACATGAAGCCAACTGGGTGAACTAGCCAATTAGTCTGAGAGTAGCAATGCTTGATTGGTTGTAAGTTGGCTCTTCTAGACGTTTCCACGTGTGCTAGATATACCGTTCAGGAACGTTCGATTTGACCTTTATATTGGACGGTGTGATCAGCCAATGCATCTCGCTCCCTCTCTGCTCGTCCGAAACCGGGCTTTACTCCATCCTGTGGGGGCCAAGGATCTCGAGTTCCGTTCAATAGCCAACTGTCAAATCAGGCAATGGACGACCACTTCAGTACAATGATCACCTGCATCTGGTCGGCCATGTTGTACGCTCATATAATCAGAACGGTGAGTGGTCGCTACATCTGTGTGAAGATGGTCGCCCATTTCGCGCGAGCAATAACTTCTGACACAGTATCCGTCGGAGAGTGGTATGGCGCCCACCAAACTCCAACCGGCCATGGACGCAAATAGATCACATCGCCACTGGACAGGCTGCGTACAAAAGTGCCTCTCGACTTAAAGCACAAGTGTGGATTGCGACCATCCCTTTGCATGTATAGATTTCCGGGTCAGTTCCGGCGGACACCACAGACAGACACATTCCAACTAGTGGAGCCAGAATTTTGAATGTATATCAAAGTACGCGGGCATTCCGGTTCAGTAAGCAGAAAAAGAAAGAGAAGAAAGAAAGCCCTCGGATTACAAGGCGGGTTTGTGATCCTTAAGATGACGTCCAGATACAAGCCCCCAATTCATAAAAAATATCGAGCGCTATTCAAAACACGTGATGTGATAAGCAGCTACCAGCACACTTACCAAGTCTCTGTTGCTGAAGTTTGTGTCGCACATTGTTAACGAGCTGATCACCTCCGCGTCTGTAACATCTCCAGGCGCAGCGAAACACGACTGGAATCAACTGCTCCTCCGCTGCGAACGTAGTGACTTAAAGTGTTGCAAATTGTCAAGAGACAAGAAAACAGTCCAAGGCCGAACGCATCGCACGTGCGATGTGACAGGAAGAGTAGTCTGTTGGCACTAGGAACAGTATCAATAATTTTGCATGTAGGGGTTTCGCAATTCGATCTGTGCGCCATAACAGCTGTTGAACAGCTGAAATCTACTATGAGGGAAGAATGATGCAGTAAAACACTGTTCACGCACCAGAAGAGCTTAAAAACAGATCACAAAACCTAGGGCCCTAAAGTATGCACAATCAAGACTAACTAATTCGGAGCTGTCGAACAATCCTACAGATAACAACAACCTTATCTGCAACGGCAAAATAAACTGCGGGAGTAATGTAAAAGTCCTACTTAATTAGAGTACATAAGATAAAGGCCAAAACAGATTCGATCACCTGCTTCCTCTATGGTTCAACTCCAACACATTTCTTCACATAACCCTATCCTTAAGGATTATGTTGCATTCGCCTCTCAAGACTCCCTGCCCTTTTATTTACGACTTTTAGCTCTTAAGGTGCCATTGACTATGACGCATTAGACCCATACGCTCACATGGTGCTGATAGTTACACATCACTAAATCATTATTCCATAAAAGTTCTATACCCTATCGTTGTTCAACTCGCGTGGTCTCCTCCCTGTACCCTGTACCCTCCCTGTACACATCCAATGTCTGTTTCCCTCCAAATAATACTCGTTGCATTGTGACAGAATGCATTTCTAAGATGCAAAATATCTTTATGGTTTCTCCTGACACTGGGCCTCCACGTAGTCTCCGGAAGTTATCTATGCTAACCGGCGCATTCCGGCTAAAAGCGAACACAACGAGACTCGTAAAGACCATGGGGCAAGCGTCCGTGCTAGGCGGAAGAGAGACCGCGAATCCTGGTGGTCTAATCGTGCATCAGAGACCGGAGTGACAGCTGCTCTTTGGTACCTAGCGGGAAACGGGCAAAAGAAGACTTGGTGTTAGTGAAACTATACTTGACGAGAGTGGACAGCCTATCTACGGCTTGTCAAAACGCTTGCAGCGTTGGACATTATAAAAGGCAAGTTAATCGATCGGAATTGTTTAATTTCTCGCCGGGCAGTGAACACTGCTCTCTGGACTGTTCATTTGGATCCGCCATCTCGCTCAGAAATCGAGCGTGAGATCGGACTGCTGGCGTTGAATAAGGCCGCGTAACCAGATGAACTTCATTAATCCCTTTTCAAATTCGTGAGACTTGCTCTTGTGGATGATTTACACGAACTATTAGTAAAACTGTGGGATCAGGAAACTGTCCCAATCAACTAGAAGCGCTCCACTATCGTTCCGATCGTCAAGGTAGGCGGTAGCCATAGAGGAATCAGTCTGATGTCAATCGCCTCCAAGTTACTTGTTTCTGTCATCCTTCACAGAGTGGCGGCCATCCGTGAAAGCCAGATTCGTGAACACCAAGTCAGGTTTCGTCAAGGTCGGTGCTGCATCGATTACATCTTTACTTTCCGTCAATTGCTGAAGCACCGTTACATACAGTGGAGGCCCACTGTTGTCGTGTTTCTCGACATCAAAAGTTCTTTTGATTCGGTGAATCGATGTGCCTTTGGAGCTGTCTGCTCAGGAAAGGTGCACTCAAGAAATATGTCAATATCATCAAAGCGCTTTACGCGCGTAGCTCAGGCTGAATGAGGGCTCACGGCAAGCTGGAGCCGCACATCAATATATCTAGCTCTCACTCGCTGTCACTTCATACAATTTCGCTAGAAGTCATGGAAACAGCGCTCTCTGGACACGATCTAAAAGGTGTGGAGCTACTTGCTGGTGATCGACTTCTTGACTTGGGGTATGCGGACGAGATTGCCCCCATCTGTCACAGCCTCCAAAAGTGCTCAGCAGCAATGAACCGATTAGCACTGGCTGTCAACCGTTTTGGGCTACGTTTGGCTCCATCGAAATGCAAAGTACTTCTCCAAGACTGGCAGGGACTCACCACTGTGCTAACCCTTGGTGGTGATAAGCTAGAAGTCGTTCAGGAATTCAAGTACCTGGACAGCTATATTAGCGCCCGTGGGATCGAAGATAAGATTACGAATCGCATAGTTATACCTAGAGGTGCTTTTGCCAATCTTTGCCACCTGTGGCACAGACGCGATACCAATCTCGCCCTGAAAAGCAAAGTTTACAATGCAGACGTCCGTCCAACCCAGGCCGAACGGGTCTCGTCACGTTCAATCATCGCTACCTTCGCAGATTAGCCCACGTCTGGTGGGAGAACCGAGTGCGCAATCAGCGTGTTCGGCGTCGCGTAGTTGGTTCAGGAAGAGCTAGTGAAGCGCTCTGCACCATTATATTACACACCAGGCTCTGATCACTGGGTCACGTGTTGCGCATGCCAGCACACAGACTCCAGCGACGTGCGTTGTTGGCGTGCCGAGAGTGCGGTTGGAAGAGAAGGAAGGGGGGCAAGCGATGACTTGGTCAAGAGGAATGAAGGATTTTTGTTTAAAGTTGGTCTCGGTTGGAGCTACTCGGCTTCTCAGTTGGTACACTTGTTGACATGGCTCGGAATCGACCTCAGTGGCGTTTGTGTTGCGAGTTTCTCTGTCTCTCCCCTGCCGCTTAAACTCCCCCTCCAACAACGACCTCATTTCCCACGCATAATATAGTATTTTCTTTTGCGGCACAATAGCCCGCTGCTAGCTCGCCGGAACGATTTCCATCCATTATCGGTGATTCAGCTGGCTTGACCTTGTTGAATGGATTGCGGTACAATAGTTGAGATGTTCCCTGCCTCCAGCTAACGTGGATAATGATAATGATGATTCTTGGAGGCCTTTTGTTTTCAACAAGTTTGGTAATATAGACTGAAACTGCACAATGATTTGACTAATCTCCCCCTAGGCTATGCATAAAATCAGTTCCACATTTGCAATTAGCAAGTTCCCCTTTTATCGTTTGCACATATTTCTATACCTATGTTCGTTTCCTAGTGTGTACAGGGTGCTAGTCCATTTCTGGAATAACTTGTTTTGTTTCCTATGCCACTCAAAACCTAAAGTCCAATAACTTTTTAAACTTATACGAGAATTCCTTCACTACAATATCTTTTGTGATAGCTAATACAATGATATGTCTTATTCCGAGATGAGGGAACAATGGTGGATGATCTGAATTTAAAGAATTAGCCCATGACCCATTCCGTACTTCCAAAACGTAGTGCGGTTTGAGAAGAAGCACCTATAACTGCAGCGACAATATAGGCTACATTTAGATTATATTTACTGCTCCGGATTTCCTTATGTAACTCTGACTCGGATGAAGACATTTGCTTCCGAAATATCTTCATAGGCTTTACTAGTCGCTATGGATTTCGATTGAATTGTATCGGCATGTTTGCACGTGCTTTAATTTTTCGATCATGTCTTGTCTGGCTTGTCTCGTAAAACTCGAGAATAAATTATTTTTATCACACCAAGGAAAAAATACAGACAGCTATGTTCTCTCTTCATATTGATTTAATTTGTGATGCGTCCTGGTGTTATATCCAGACACACCTGTACCAAGCTGGCGTGCCAAAAAGCGATAATGAAATCGGATCGTTGACAGTTTTAGAACTGATTCAGTACTCGTCCTCAGGTGAATGAAAATGACAGAATTGTCTCCAAGAGGCCCATTTTCCAAACCCGCAATGCAAGCCGACAGAGAACGGAAGATGATGTGTCGAGTGTGGGGTAATGAGCCTAATGATTCATAAAATCTAAGGGTGGATACAGTGAAATCGGGTATCGGTGGAGTGTCTGAGAATAACGAACCACACGAAACGGATGTTTACAAACCCTTCCGAAAGCATAAATGCTCGAACAATTCCAAGCATATTTCAAGATTCTGACTTGGACTGCAGTTGTACGAACAAGCAACTCGTACTACTGCAAATAATTTTGGCCTACCTTGCATATATCTTTAGATGGCCCATTCGTCCGAAACGGTTTCTTTGAAAAGTTGAACGTAACAACACTAGGTGAAACAGAATTCGAAACCGCCGTTGACGAACGCAAAGTAGGTGCTATTTCTGACTGTATCGACAAAGGAAGCGAGCTAGGCACAGAGTTCGCTGTGGAAGTAGCGGTAATCGGTAAGCGTTTGTCACGCAATTTCGACGCAGATGGTCCAACAATGAGGGCCCCTCTCCACATCCTAAGTGAATTGACACAGTGCACACGGTTCACCAAGTCAGAGACAGGTGTGAAGGGTTCTGTGGACGGAGTGGGATGTTTGCGTCGACGAAACAGCGAGAATGGATCAACTATACGATTGGAGAATGATGGTGATGTTTTTGGAGTAGCTGGAGACACCCTGCATGGTGCAAGAGAGCATTCGAGTTGCAAAGTGGGACATGGGTAGGGCGCAATCGATGGGGGGCAGTCGTACAAAGACTCACGCGCTGTGGAAGCCGTGGTCGAATCGTCCGATTCCGACTGGGGAGTACCCTTGTCGAGCCTAGGGAGACCTTCTTGATAAAAACGAGGATTGTGATGAATGACAGGGACCTCTAAGGTGGAATATGGATGAAAAGAAGAAGGCCTCGGATGTTGGTTAATTCGGATCCTGGAAGGGGGATTATTGCACTTGAATCGGTCGAATAGCTGTTTACCGTTGACAGGGGACGCAGTAACTTTAGGATACTCTGGCCATCGTGAGAACGACTGACGAGCAGGCTGAGAAGTAAACCAGCGACGTGAATCCCGCAAGCGTCGATAGTTATCATAAGTAGATCCAGTGATGTCAACTGGAGATGCCTTCAGTTTATCTTTTGAGAAAGAGCCATTGATGCCAACTAATGGAGGCCGTAAAAAAGATGACTCAAACGAACAAGTCGAGTTAAAATCTGAGGAGGGGTCGGCGGATTTCGAGCGTCGATGAGAGGGAGTAAACAAGAAAGTGAGACGATTTTCCCTGTTTCGCGCCGTTGGACATTTCTTCAAACGACCAACATCAGTCCGACTACGAGTAGTCGAAAAGAAATTGGAGTCGCTTCTGTGAGAGGTGTGAATGAGACCGATAGTTGCAGATTTGCCGGGTTTCACCTCCATCAGTATGGCTGGGGAGAACTCTAAGGTATCAGCCGACGTCAGGCATTCGGTTACTACCGGAACCGCTGAAACGATAATACAATATGAGAAGAATGACGGTAATATAGGCTTCCAGTAACTGATTATGTTTTCAAGCAAAACATATGACATAAGCAAAAGGTAATCATCACATATATTTGGGAGAGAATGGAAATTATGAGTAGAAGTCGGAGTTCCTACAACAGAAGGTGTGCGCCATCGTCATCATCATCGACAAGAGTAGCAGCAGGATTACTGGTATTAAATGGGAAAGTTATGCCAAAGCTTCATACTATCATGCAACCATAATAAATCTACCGATGAGGAAGAAGAGGACAGAAGGTAGAAGTAACGTGAAGCTGTAGCAGTACGCACACATGTCGTCAACACTGCGAAACCATAAACAACCGGATAAGCAAGTGAAGATGGGCGGAATCGGTGCAGTAGGTAGCCTAACGCAGCGGATAATGTTATAGCCATTATCATCAGCATCATCATCATCAATACACGTTAGATGAGGGTGAGAAATACACCTCAGCTAATGTGCCGCAATACAAAAAGATAAGACTAAAAAAGTACGTCACGAAAAGGATTCCAAGCAAGTAATATGATGTTAAATACGAGATTATGCGGTTTGTTGATTGGGATGGGAGGGGGAATCTAAAAGGGAGGGTGCTGCACAAAGAAACTCACAACACAAACGCCATGGGAGCCGGCGCTTCGCCATATCAGCAAGTGTGTCCAACCAAAGGTGTTCATCGTCTTCTGGAATCCAACCAGGCAGTCGGAAAGCACCAATCGACGCCCGTTTCGAAGTCAGGGTTTTCATTTCTCTCGACCAAGTCATCGAATGGCCCCCCTTCCTCCTCTTCCAACCGCATCCTCGGCGCACCAACAACGCAGGTCGATGGAGTCTGTGTGCTGGCATGCGCAACACATGGCCCAGCCATCGGAGCATGGTATGTGATATAATGTTGCTGAGCGGTTCACTAGCTCTTCCTGCACCAAATACGCGACGCCGAACACGCTCATTGCTCACGCGGTTCTCTCACCGGACATGAGCTAAGCTGCGAAGGCAGCGATGATCGAACGTGACGAACCACTTTATGTTTATCGACCTGATGGGCCATCAAGTAAAACAGCAACATCATCATCATAGTCGTCGTCATCATCATCATGACATGTTTGCACGAGGCGAGAAACACCTCAGCTATGTGCCGTAATGCAAAGCAGTGACACAGGAGTAAAAGAAAGAAGGGAAAAGTAAAGAAAAATAATACTAGGTCCTGTTCTTTTGTTATGCATCTATAGTGAGATCGTGGGTGGATGAGCGGACAGATGCACTGAGGCTAATCCCACACCACGTTAACAAGTGTATTGAACCACACGTGTTAAGCGTCACTCGGACCCCAGTCTCGCAGTGGGGAAGCACCAACCGACACATAATTCAAAGTGAGGAATTTCAATCCTCTTGATCAAACGATCGCTTGGCGTCACTTCCTTTTTCCATCCACAGTTCCGGTCGCGAGAGTCGGTGTGCTGGCATGCGCAACATGTGGCCCAGCCAAGGGAGTCTAGTGCGTGAAATAACGGTGCTGAGTGATTCGATGCCCCTTCCTGAACCAAATACACAACGCCAAACGCGCTAATTGCTCATACACCAGATAACAGCTAAACTGCGAAAGCAGCGATGGTCGAAGGTAGCTAGCCTTCTTATGTCGGTCCATCTGACGGGCCAGGTTTCATAACCGTGCAGAAGGCTGCACACACGACTGCACTGTAAACTGTGCTTAAAAGCAAGTGATACCGCTGTAAGTGGCAAGGATTAGAAAAAGCGCTTCCACATTTTGCCAAGACACACAAGTTTCATGAGCAAACAAAGCAGGTGGTGCTCATGGAACAGACTTTGTGACAACCGCATGATTATCACGCGCGCGACTAGTGGCCGTCGCATAGAAGTGACGTTTTGGTGGGTGTACCGGTGTACTACTGATGTCTTTTTATCACTCTCACATTCGTGGACCAGACGGACTACAATTTGAGCAGGCAAAGCAGACTAATAGTCTCAAACTCGCGGTTCATCGGATAGGAAAAGGTAGCGCGATTTGAACAGAGCCATCCCAGATGTCCGCGTCGACATCGAAAAGTAGAAGGCGAAAGCTGTTATGACATGCATGAAAGCAGAAAAGTGAGGTGTCCGCAGAGCTGTGGAATGGAAACTCAATATTTGGGACATATAGATGGGGTTATCTGACTGTGAACTTGTTAGCCAACCAAGTTCACCTTAGTGCTAGCTGGGCGGATCGTAAATCTCCAGTTCCGGCGAATGGTTTGGTGGCAATGCTCCAGTACGTAGTCGGTTTTCGCTTGGCACACGTTCTCACTATAAACAGTCACAAAGGTCTGTTAAACAAAACCGCAACGTGGCAGATGTGACTGGTCACTAAATAAAGTCATTGCCCGTTCTCTTCCTCGGAAACATTGGATACCGAGAAACGATCAGAGCATCGGATTCTATCTCTGACTTCGGAAGTGTTGGGCACCTGATGTGGCTTTCGCCATCCGAAACGCGCATGAACTGAGTGATCAGTCATCGGCTCCCAACGGGTGTGAAACCTTTATCTCGCACTCATGCCTTGTAGGTTAGGATCTTTGGCCAAAGGTTCAGAGCGGTGGTCCCCTAGGACAATCTACCTACATCGGCATAAGCAACCGGGCAGTATCTCACCTACTGACGAAGCATGGAATCACACGAACACGCTCTCTCTCTCGTTCTATTGATGGAACGCTAACCTGTTGCTATATCAGTGTTACAAACACATGCCACCGGTTTACCTACCCTTCTCTGAATCATACATCGCCATTGTTAGGGGATTCTTTAACGGTGAACAGTCCGATCTCCATCAATGAATTCGTTTCCTTAAAATGCGAAAACTCAACCGCACAGTCCTCGACAGGAAGCTACCAGTCCCGAAGTCTTCCAACTTCGCTCCTGCAATCTGGAAAGCAGTTCAGACAAGCGACCTTCAACATGCGCCCATTACTTCAGACCCAAGAGCCAACTGGACTTGCACACAAACCGGAGATGCTTGCAATCGATATCTGCTGCCTGAGTGAAACACAACTCCAGAAGTTCAACGCAGTATACCACTGTCGTTACCATTCCACCCAAATACCCATCTTCATATCAGCTTTTCTGATGACGCCGAGTCTACCGCGTCTGGAGAAGCTGGTGTTGGGATCGTCCTCAGTGGTAAAGCCGAGACCACCCTCATTAATTGGATACTAATTGACAGTCGTCTTCGTGACATGAAGTTTCGTGGCTGTTGGAAGAGTAGCAGACTTAGGCCGACAAGAGCGCTCTGTTTGTGAGCGCCAAATACGTGCCCACGCACTGCAGCTCGGATACAGTTAAGAACAGGTTCTATCAACATTTTCATAGGCTGCTCCTAAGAGCGTCTAAAACAAAGATCATCATCATGGCAGGAGACTAATTCAAGTGTCAGTCGGTTGTTGCCATGTAAACGTCAACTCGGGGGGAACGCATGGATATGATGACATTTGCTCTGACGACGGAGAGAGACTGCTAAGTCCATGTGTTGACCATCAACTGTTCTTCACCAGTACCAGCTTTCATCACATCTGGCGTCCTTCATCGTCAACCCAGCGCTGGTCACAAATTGATCACATAGCCATAAGCTGCAAGTGGCGAGGCAGCGTACGCAATTGTATATAATCTTTGTCAACGTATGTTGAAGCCGATCGTGCATTGGTATATGCCAAAGTAGGCGTGTGTTTCGGTGTCTCACCTATGGCCGAACAAACCCGACTGAACACCAATAAATTGGAAGACCCAACGGTAAAAACGGAGTCCCAACAGAAGCTTTGAGAAAAGCTCACCTTATCGTCTACTATGGATCATGACCAACACTGATCAGGTTTGCAACAAACCATGCTATCCGCCGGTATGTCCAGCTGCAGCCTCGTCGGCTACACAGCCAAAAGCTGGATCTAGGCAAGATGGTCAGAACCGCTGGAACGTAGATGGACTATGCCGGCCGGTGCGGAAAACAACCAACTCCGCCGGTCTATCACTCGAAAGCTGAGATGAAGCCTTCGCTTTGACCGTGAATTCAAGCGGTGAAAAGGAGTTGCTGAAATGGAAGCCGCTACATCGGATAAAAGGTTCCGCAGTTTATTTTCAACTCGTGATTAATGCCCATTTTAAGATAATAAGTTTAAATAGCGAATAGATCTCTTTTCGATTATTCTCATCAGGCCATTAGAGTAATAAGAAAACATACAAAGTGGTAAGCTGTTGTCAGTTACGCTGAGGACGGCTAACCTAAGAGTTTGAACGGAGTCAGTAGGTCAGATTGATGCCTAGGTCGATTCACTTAGGGTAAGCCTTGCAGCTGATTGTACGTCGCCTAGGGTAGGGCTAGCAGCCGATAGTAAGCAGTTAGTGTCCGATCCCGAGTAACTGCCGCGCGGCCAGGGTAGGAAAAGCAAAGCTTGCAAAGCTTGGGATGGGTCAGTCTGATGGAAACTATTTCAGATATCTGCGAGAGACGCTTTCTGAAAGCCTTCGGATGGCGTAGTGAGACAGAGTAGATCTTAAACGCATGCGATGTTGGAATTTCGTGTCCGCTTAGAAGCAGATGTTCCATGCTAGCACTGTTTAGGTTTCTGCCCATGCCTCTTCTTAAGGAGCCTGGTCAGTGCTCGATTACCCATTTTGACAGACGCCTAGTTGTATGTCCGAGGTATCTTACACCACAGGTGCAACGAAATTGATACAAGACGGATGAATGGAACAAGACCGGGAGTCTGTCTTTGAGACGCGAAGCAACAAAGGGAGAGATCTGAGTAAGTATATGTAGATACGCGGCTGGGTGGATTATGAACAATGCGGTTGAGTCGCCTTTTCAATGAATCCAAGGCAACATCTCCTTTGAATGGTAGAGATAGGAGCATATCCTTTTTTGGTACAGTCAAGGTGATTTCGGAGCGCAGACGAATCATGGCATGCTTGCTGATAAACTGAG